CCTCTCTGCTTCTCAGGAAGAACCTGCCTGGAAACCTGAAAGAGTTTCTCAAGCGTGAAACCAAGCTGTCTGTTCTCAGAGGAACCCTGGAAATCCAACTCAGTCTGAAACCTGCCTGCCCGCTCTCAGAAAGAGCTGAGAGAGAAGCTCTGAACCTGCTCAGTAAGATAAACTGCTCTGCCCTGCCTCTGCCTAGCCCTCTGCCTGCCATCAGCCTCTGGACCCTCCTGGTTCCCCTCTTCCACCGCTCTGCTCATTCTCTGATCAGGTATAGACCTGCAAACACACTATCTGCAATTTTTCTGGAAGACTGCTAACCGAACTGTCCCCATCTGCAGAGAACCCTGTTTGACCAGTTCTGGATCTGTTTCCCTGCATCAGCCTGAATAATTCATTGTTGTTTCAATAAACTGTTTAACTTTTATTCCAGTCTGTGTGTGTGTTCTGCATGTGGGTTAGGTCCATTAATCCCACCATGACACTTAATTTGAGTAGGTAAGTGAGATAGTTTGCCAATGGAATTAGTAATTTTACTCTTAAAATAAGATAATTAGATAATATGCACTTGAAATAGGACAATGCAATTGTGTATTCTTATTATAAGTATAAATTGTCTTGTTCCGTTGGCAGAATGTCTCTTTTACCTCCTCAATTTAAGAACAAATGCACCTATTTTAAGAAAAAATGACTTATCTAGATTTAGATTTTTTGCAGTGTTCTTATTAGGAATCTAGCCAAATTTATTAAGACTGATTTATACTTCGAAACCAGGTTGTCTGCGTAGGTATCACAGTGAACAAAAAGACATCCCCACCCCCTCCGCTGACACTCTGTTGCACCTCTCCCAAATGTTTTGTTTTTATGAGCGAAATTGCGGAAAACAACTAGTGAAGAGGAACCAGATAGAAGAGCGTGGTGTGGGAGAATGCTGGGACCCTTTTTTCACCTGGATCCCCGCTATTTTTCAGCGTTATGTCCCTCCGTTGTCGAACGAAACTCGCCGCCACTTCTTCATCGCCTCTGCCGTATCTAGACCCACAGCATATAGCACAGACCACGCTTCAATATTGAGCATAAATCAAAAATGTCTGCATCAAGCTCACTGCCACACACTGCTGCTGGAGAATAACCAGCTCTTTAGTCCTCCAAAACCCTGACCACCCAGGGTGCAGACCAGGAAGCAGAGTCGTTGTTTAACACACATCTCTGCAGCTTCTCTACTGTTACCCACTCTTTACTCTATCCAGACAGTGTCTTACCTAATAATCATGATAATTTAAATAAAATTAAAATAACTCCAATTCGAAAAAAATTTAAATGGATTAAATGTGTTCTGTTCAGGGGCGCTATGGAGCCGCGAATCGAGATGGCAGCTTAAAGTGGATGCTCCGTGTGACCTGCACCAAACGTTCGATAAAACCCAGGATTAGAAAAGTAATTTGGACCTGAAGATGTCAAAATCGACCACTCTTAAGGATTGTGATATTTTCACAAGAAAACGCGGTTCCCAAAAACCAACTAAAACTGATACTTCGGGAACAGATCAAGGCAAAGAAGGTGCCACTAGCATTGATAGCATGTGTGACCTTAGTACGGTACTAGCTGAGCTTCGGTCGTTACATTCTGAGTTCGGTGGATTTGGAAATAAACTGGACAGTATAGATAACCGTATGGGTGAAATGACGAAGTCCATCGCCTCTCTGGAAAAAAACATAGCAGAGGTAAAGCAAAATGTTGCGGCTAATGCTACTAGACTGGAGGAAGCTGAAAACAGAATCGTGTCAGTGGAGGAACTTTTAGAAGTTAATACGGCTAGTCTGACCAAAGCCTTGAAGCCAATTTCCTACTTGGAGACGAAGACCGACGACTTGGAGAACCGAGGCCGAAGGAAGAATCTGCGCCTTTTTGGGCTCCGGGAGGGCGCTGAGGGACAGCGGCCTTTACTGGAGTTTATACGGGAGATGCTGCCGCGCTGGCTGGAGACCGATAGATCCTTCATCATTGAGAGAGCCCACCGCACCCTGGCACCTCCGAAGCCAAACCAGCACAGAGCCGTCCTCATTCGTTTCCTGAATTTCCAGGATCGGGAATTTGTTTTCCGCTCTACAAAACAATGCAATATTCAGCACGATGGGAATAAACTTTTCTTCGCTCAAGATCTTTCTGCTCTATTTACATTGCAGTGTCCATG